TCCATTTCCATTTGCATGTAAATTTTTTTCCATCCCTCCACTGCCATCCTGTGTGAATCTTTTGTTCTGAGTTGGGGTCTCTTGTAGACAGCATATAATTGATTCATGTTTTTTTTTTGTTTTTTTTTTAAGGTAGGTCTCTTCCAATTCTTTTCTTTTTTTAAAAAATATATTTTATTGATTTTGTACAGAGAGGAAGGGAGAGAGATAGAGAGTTAGAAACATTGATTAGAGAGTCATCGATCAGCTGCCTCTTGCACACCCCCTACTGAGGATATGCCTGCAACCAAGGTATATGCCCTTGACCGGAATCGAACCCAGGTCCCTTCAGTCCCCAAGCCGACGCTCTATCCATTGAGCCAAACCGGTTTCGGCTGGTTCATGTTTTTGTATCCATTCAGCTATCCTGTGTCTTTTGATTGGAGCATTTAATAATAACAGTTAAGGTTATTGATAGGTACTAATTCATTGCCATTTTTAGTTCTTTATGCCTATGTTTCTCTCTATTTCTTCTCATTATAGCAGTCCCTTTAGCATTTCTTGCAGTGCTGGTTTGAAGGTGATAAACTCCTTTACCCTTTTTTTGTCTGGGAAGCTCTTTATTTCACCATCTATTTTGAATGATAGCCTTGCTGGATATATCGCGTTTCCCCGAAAATAAGAATCCTCCAAAAATAAGACCTACTTACAGGTTTCCTTCTGAGTGAAATATAAGGCATCCCCCTCCCGAAAATAAGGCCCCCCTAGGCTAAACATGAGAGATTTGGTCCACTGATTCTGAAAGAAATGGAGTCACAAGAAATTCACCAGGAAATTCAGGAATTGGATTGTTATGATGATGTTCCAGAAGATGATGACATGATTGTCATTAAATAAATGAGTAAATTCTTGAACTGTAGGATTCACAGTTTGTCTGGTTTGTGTTGACAACTACTGTACTACCGTACCGTATACAGGTAATAAATTTCCTTTATTTTCATTTAACAATGTGTACCGTATTCTTCTTCATGGAAAAATAAGACATCCCCTGAAAATAAGACCCAGCACATCTTTGGGAGCAAAAATTAATATAAGACACTGTCTTATTTTCGGGGAAACAGGGTAGTAATCTTAGTTTCAGATCCTTGATTTTCATTACCTTGAATACCTCATGCCATTCCTTTCAGGCCTGTAGAGTTTCTGATGAGAAATGAGCTGACAGGCTTATGGGAGCTCCTTTGTAGGTAACAAATTGCCTTTCTCTTGCTGTTTTTAAGTTTTTCTCTTTGTCTTTAATTTTTGGCATTTTAATTATGATGTGTCTGAGTGTGGGCCTATTTTGGTTCTTTTTGCTTGTGACTCTCTATGTCTCCTGAACTTGTGTAACTTTTTCCTTCACCAGGTTAGGGAACTTTCCTGCCATTATTTCTTCAAACATATTCTCTATCCCTTGCTCACTTTCTGCCTCTTTTGGCATACCTATTATGTAAATATTGTTAAGTTTCATGTTGTCCCATAGCTCCCTTAAATTATCCTCCTGTTTTTTAAATTATCTTTTCTTTTGATTCTCTGAATGAGTAATTTTTGTTTAACCTATCTTCTAATTCACTGGTCCGATCCTTGGCTTCCCCTAATCTGTGTATTCCTTCCACTGTGTTCTTTATTAGTGAAATGTCATTCTTCATAGTTACTATCTTTTCTCATGCTCTTGAACATCCTTGTCATCATTATTTTGAACTCTGTCTGATGAATTTCTTTTTTTTAAATTACTTTATTGATTATAATATCACATAATTGTCCTCATCCCCCATTCCTATCCCAAACCCCTTCCCACGTATGCCCACTCCCTGTTGTCCATGATCACTGGTTAGGCTTATATGCATGCACACAGTCCTTTGGTTGATTTCTCCCCTTTGCTCCCACCCTCCCCTACCTTCCCTCTGAGGTTTGACAGTCTGATTGCTGCTTCTTTGTCTCCAGGTCTGTTTTTGTTTATCAATTTATGTTGTTCATTATTTCCCTTAGATGCTTTAGATCATGTGATACAAGAAATTCCCTTATAAGGACCGAAACTGAGACAAGCCATAATGGTTATACTGAGAGGCAAATGAATCAGTCTGTAGTGAGTTCCTTTCTGGGCTAACAGTTCTTTTGAGTCCCAATTTCAATGTCAAACAGTTTCTTATATGTACATGTCAGGCATGATATTTCAGATCTGGTTGGTTGACAAATGGTGTTGATGCAGGTCCGACCGTCTCTGGTTTTGTGCTGGTCATCCTTCCGCATTGCACAGCTGCTGTCTGCTAGTATGGCAAGGCGTTGTCAATGTCTTCCATCTCGGGACTGTTTCTCTTCTGTCTTCATGGCTGGAACACTCCTATCAGTTTCTCTCTGTTGCAGGAATCCACATGGTCTCGGAGTTGTTTTCTGAAAATATACAAACATATTCTTAATCAAAAGTTAATAAAGGGATATTTTTTTTTTATAAATTTGACTTGGTTTTCCCCCCACCCCTCCTAAATGATTTTACTCTGGCTTGTTTTGAGTCTGATGAATTTCTTATCTCCATTTAATTTAGTTCTTCTCCTGGAGAATTATCTTGTTCTTTCATTTGGGGCTTGTTTTTTCTCTCCCCATACTTGTTTAGGTTTGCTTCTCTGTATTAGGTAGATCTACTCGTTTAGGTTTGCTTCTCTGTATTAGGGAGATCTGCTAGGACTGCCAATCTCTAGTGCAGGACGATGTCAGGTACTGCTTGTGATTGGCCCTGAGTACTCTGTTTAGAGCTATCAGCAATCCACAGCCTGTGGCTTCCTTTGCTGGGGCTGGGTGTCTTTGGAAAGAACCAAAATGTTCACCAGGGTGTGCTTTTTCTAGTCCCAGGATTAGATCAGGCAAAGACTCAAAGCCTCCAGAGCCTCTTTCTGCTTGCAGTCCCATTGACCCTCAGACTTACTAGCTTTAGATTATTGACCACAGGGTGGGGCAAGAGGACTTCCAATAGGGTGGGGCAACTGCCTTCCCCCCAGGCAAAAACCTCCTGGATAACAGAGGTTTAGGTTTGCTTCTCTAATCCTGGGACTAGAAAAAGCACACCCTGGTGAACATTTTGGTTCTTTCCAAAGACACCCAGCCCCAGCAAAGGAAGCCACAGGCTGTGGATTGCTGATAGCTCTAAACAGAGTACTCAGGGCCAATCACAAGCAGTACCTGACATTGTCTTGCACTAGAGATTGGCAGTCCTAGCAGATCTCCCTAATACAGAGAAGCAAACCTAAACGAGTAGATCTACCTCCCCAATCCCAGAGCCCACAATCCTGGTTACTGCTCACACAGCTTTAGTCCACTCTACCTTCCCTCTGCTGGAGCCCAAGGCAAGTGGCTATACACAAAATTTTGTGCATTGGCTCTTTAAGAGGGTGCCTGCATTTCCAGCATTCTTTTGCTGGCAGACATTAACCCTGCTGCTTTTCACAGCCAGATATTCTGTGAGGACCTTTCTCAATTCTGGTTTTCTGGGCTGGGATCCCAGCTTGGAGTTTAAGACCCCAGAGTTCTGCCATAGCCGGTTTGGCTCAGTGGATAGAGTGTTAGCTCATCATTGATGTTTCTATCTCTCACTCCCTCTCCCTTCCTCTCTGAAGTTAATTAAAAACAAACAAAGAAACAAACAAAAAAAATGACCCTAGAGTTCTCAGTGGGAACCCCCTCACAGCTCTGAGGTATCCTTTCAGAACTTCAGTTGCTCTCTGTGGGAGCCTGGGCAGCCCTTTTGTGCCTCTGCACTTCCTACCAGTCTCTAGGTGGTCTCCACTTTCCATCTTTGGTTATCAGGGAAATATAATAGTATTTTTATTAATATAATAGTATTTAAATATTTCCAGCTAGTTTTCAGTTGATTTTTCAGAGTGATTCTTCTATATTTTAGTTGCATTTTCAGTTTGGTCTGGAAGAGTATCAATGTAGCTTTCACTACTCCACCATCATTTTGGAATCCACATCCTATTATTCTAGTATCTCTTTTACTGTAACTTATATAAACATTTACATACTGAAATACATTTTTTTACTATGAACTATTTTTTTCTCTCTTATACTTAAGGCATTTTATATAATACTAGAAGCCCGATGCACAAAGATTTGTGCTAGAATGGGCTTTCCTTTCCCTGGCTGCCAGCACCACCTTTCCACTCCAGCCCAGCCTTTTTCCTCTCAGGCTCTGAGCCATTTCTTTCCACTCAGGAGCTTCCTCTTTCCTCTCTAGCCCCACCTTCTCACGCTGCCCAGAGGCCCTGAGAGACTGGGGGTGGGGCAGAAAGCCCAGTTTCCTGTACAGAGTCATTCCCTTGCAGTGGAGAACATATTTCTCCGGCTGCAGATTTTTGCTATCCAGGAGGTTTTTGCCTGGGGGAAAGGCAGTTGCCCTACCCTGTTGAAAAACCTCTTGCCCCACCCTGTGGTCAGTAGCCTAAAGCTAGTAAGTCTGAGTGTCAATGGGACTGCAAACTAGGTCCAGGTGTTAAGCATCCCACCCGTCCACATCATTCAGCACCTGTGTATGCAAATTAACTGCCATCTTTGTTGGGTTAATTTGCATATCTCTCCTAATTGTCTGATGGTGTAGTGGAGGTACTGTCAATTTACATGTTTGTTTATTATTAGGTAAGACTAGAGCCCCTGGTGGTCAGTGCACATCATAGTGAGCAGTTGAGTGACCTTAGCATGTCATTAGCATATTACGCTTTGATTGGTTGAAAAATCGACCAGTCAACTGGACATTTAGCATATTAGGCTTTTATTATATAGGATGTATTTTCAATTATATGTATTGGTAATTATAAATTTTACTTTAAAAGGGACTTTATAAAAAACACATTTGTTCTAAAAAGAGGAATCAGGTATAACAGGTTGAGAACCACTGATATAGATAAGATAATATAGCATATGAATTAACTCATTATCAGAGTTATTTTTAAACTGAACTTAACAAAGATGACATTTTACTCTTCCATTTTCCTTAGTGCTGACGAGATCATTGTGAAAATGCATGGCAGCCAGCTGACACAGAGATATCTGGAGAAACATGGATTTGAGGTCCCTATCATGGTCCCTAAGTTAGATGACCTAGGACTCAGGCTTCCTGCAGTTACATTTTCTGTTATGGATGTGGAACGTCATGTAGGTACGAACTTGATTCCTTTATGTACTTGTGAATATATGGTAAAAGTAAAAATGATATTATCCTAGCAATATTAAAAATTGGATGAAAATAGGTTAATTTAGTTCAGTTTCCTGGATCAGAAAAGGTGCAATTCAATATTTCCTATGTTGAAAACTTTTTTTCTCGACAAATTTACCATTGTGAAAAAAAAAAACAGAATGAAACATTTTGCCTATTCTTTATTTCCTGAGATTCACCCTGCTGCTTTTTTTGTTGTCATCAAATTTTCTGGCACTTCCTAGTCAAACTATTACTGATGGGTAGCTTCAGATACTGGGAAAAAGACAATGGGGAATTGGATTGGATTTAGGCCTCTGTAGCATTCAGGTGCAAGAAGAGATATTTTCAAACCTGTTTTTATATTTATGACTTGGTGATATTGTCATTTAATAATGTCTGGACCTAGTTTGTTATTCTGAGGCCTGGAAAGGCATAAGAAACAAGGGGAAAATCATTCATCTGTTGACATTTTAGTTATTTATTCTCATCATGGTATTCATAGATAAAGTGACTACATGTAGATCTCATTCCTCGTCAGCAATAGATACTGTAGGTATATCTCCAATTTATCTTGACTCAAAACTGCACATCCACTGTAGTACGTTATGTATCTGAGAACTTGTCCTTTTATTGAGCCTTCAGTCTGACAGTGCTCAGTGATAACTGGTACAGAGAGGAGACTCAATTAAATGGCATGACTTCACTTCAGGTGATTTTGAATATTTGATAAATTAAGGGTTAAAGCTGAGGTTTAACCTAAATCTGTTTGCCTACATAGCACTGTAAAGTAAATATAGTGTAATGTAACTATAGGAAAAAAAATGTTCAAATTATTTTATAGTTGACTTTTTAGTACTTGTAAAGCCCTTCATTTAACAGAATTGTCTTGCCTTCTAAGTATAAAATAAAGTCTACTAGGTTTTTAACATATGTAAAATTACATTAAAATAAAAAATGGCATGTATTTGTTTTCTATTTCAGATAGGTTAAGCATTGCTATATTTACAATGTCCTGTAGGACATAGTAATACTGATTATGCTTCCTAGGGTGATGATGCAGTGGTGTGCAAACAACACCTCATGATTTTACAGGAAATTTGTAAAATTTATTCCAATTGAGAACTCATTGCACAGACACTAATATGACTGATTTTTGCTTTATAACTACTGATATTTTCCTGAAGCAGAATATTAGAAGAGAAGACTACTAGGCAAGCAGAAATTGTTTGCCATAGTTAACTTGTCCCTCAATGACTGATCAGTTTTTCAAAATGGTAGACTTAGAATGTTAGGTATTACAGAGGTGAAAGGGAAAAGACAGCCCCCCTCATTTTATGCATGAAGAAGTGAAACTCAGAGCATATGGCAGTTTCTACAAACCAGTCTAATGCATTTTTGTATTGTGAGCTGCACACAAGAAATTATTGGCATATGTAAACATACAAGTTTTCACACTCAGTAGTAATTATGCAGCTCTGTCTTAATTACTTTCTTTCCTTTAAAAGCCCTCCTCCTTTTCAAAAGTTCCTGTTGGACTTAAAAATTAAGGGTATAGGGAGACTCTTTGTGTAAGCTATATACTTTTGTTTAGGGCTCTATTGATGTAACTTTTAAGTCCAATAATAAGACTATAACTTTTTTCTGCAGGTGGTGACAAAGTGATAGATGTCATTGATGTGGCAAGACAGGCAGACAGCAAAATGACACTTCACAATTATGTTAAATACTTCATGAATCCTAACAGACCAAAAGTGTTAAATGTGATCAGCCTTGAATTTTCAGATACAAAGTGAGTAGTTCTGGACATTTTGGGTTAGCCTTTTGAGTATTAGCTAAATGTAGTTAAATGCTAAATTTATTTTAGTAAGAAACATAGTTGTGACTTCTTAAGCGCTCCCGTGATAGCAGCATTGTAAATTTTGCTTTGGCATCCTCAGAGAATATTTATTATAGAAATACAATGGGCTTTAAACTTGAAATATTGTTATTAACTTTGATTTCCAGTTAATCTCTTGGTTTGGGTTGAGATGGGAGATGCCATTTTAAGAAGTTTTAATTTGTGGTGTGTGTATGTGTTTGTTTTTTAAAGGATGTCTGAATTGGTGGAGGTCCCTGACATAGCCAGAAAACTTTCCTGGGTGGAAAATTATTGGCCAGATGATTCAGTCTTTCCCAAGCCATTTGTTCAGAAATACTGCTTAATGGGAGTTCAAGACAGCTACACAGATTTCCACATTGATTTTGGTGGAACTTCAGTTTGGTACCATGTCCTCTGGGTAAGATTGGGGTATTTCTTTGTTCTCTTATTGATAAAAATATATATTAGTAGTACTACTTTTCCAGGGGTGCATTCATTTGCTGAAAACGACATTTTAAAGAGGGAAGTATTTGTACTTTTTAAGTAGGATCTGTCATTTTACCTTTAAATGTTATGATTTTTAAACCTCAAGTAATAAAGGAGCTATGAGTTTTTAATTTATATTTAGATTCTCTTGTTTGGACCATTATCTTATAAGTTGGTCTCTTGTAGCCTTTTGTCTCTTCCTCACAAATTGTAACTTAATCCCGGTATCAATACCTGAGAAGGAGCAAAATTATAGTAATAGTAATTGCTTCTGACCTCAAGATTAGGCCAAGACAGCTAGTTGAATAAGTCAGGAAGGTCCATGAAATATTAATTCTTCTTGGCAGCTTATTGGTATATTCACCTTGTTTTATCTGGTACTATACTATACATAGGAGCTACTAGCCACATGTGGCTAAATTTAAATAATGAAAATGAAGTATAATTGAAAATCCAGCTCCTCACTTAAGAAACTAAAATTTGAATTTTAGTACAAATGAACTGAATTTTAAATTAGTATTTTATGAATTAATGTTTTATGCCTTTCCTGACTTATCACAGTAGCCATATGGGGCTTATGACTATTATATTGGATAGCACAGGTGTAAGATATTACATTCATCATAGGACATTGTGCTTGGCGGTGCTGATCTAGAACCAAATCTTTGTCTATATTAAATTCTTACCTGTGCATCAGCAATGCTCTGTACTATAGTATATGATTTCATGTTCTTGAGCTCCTATTTCTTTTCTCCATGAGAAAGCCAAGGGTTTATTAAAAGAAGTTGATTTGCAGGCCTTTAAAAATAATCATTATATTATAGTTCTTAGGAGAAAGGGCAAAATTTCAGAAATGACTCTGTAACCTGGGATCTATTAACATGCATTTACTTCTATACCTTGAAAATGAGATCAGTAGGATGTTTGTGATACTTTCTACCTTCTTCTCATAATATTTCTCCAATATTACTTATTGACTCCTTGTCATATTTGGTAGCGGGATCTTTTAGCTCTTGAGAAGATACTTGGTAAGGTATGTGACATATGTCTTTTTGTGCCATATATATATATATATATATATATATATATATATATATATATATAACACAGAACATATAACAATATAACTATAACTATAACTATAACTAAACTATATATATATATATATATATATATATATATATATAAAACAATTATCTTATTTAATTTAGGGCATTGTATTGGGAAGTTGAATCAATGTAGGCTATCCTAAGAATGGCTTTTTCTTTTTAATAACTGTGCAAACTTCCTTTTAGGGTGAGAAGATTTTTTATTTGATAAAGCCAACAGATGAAAATTTAGCACTCTATGAGTCTTGGAGTTCATCTGTGACCCAGAGTGAGGTGTTCTTTGGAGATAAGGTGGATAAATGCTACAAATGTGTGGTAAAGCAGGGACATACTTTATTTGTTCCTACAGGTAAGGTTTTAATTCCATCCCTGCTGCCCATTGTTGATGCTGAGTCACATAAAGTCAGCTTTTAATGAGAAACTCTGGCTTGAACATGTTTGGAAAGTAGCTTTGCATGACTCTGTGGTGTTTTATGTCATTTTCCATCATTTTGATTTTTGTTCAGATAAAGTTCAAGAATATAATATTCATCCTTTAAAGTGTACAAGTCAGTGCTTTTTATACTTGATTTTAGCCAAAAGACTGAGAAGCAATCAAGTCAGTGGTTTTTATTAGATTAATAAGGTTGTGCAACCTTATGTCATCTAATTCTAATTTCATCACCTCAAAAGGAAGCCCCATATCAGTTAAGAGTCACATCTCTATTCCCTCGTCTTTGAGCCCTGGCAGCTACTAGGTACTTTCAGTCTCTGGATTTGCCTAGTCTGGACATATCATGCATATATGTAGAATATATGGCCTTTTGTATTTAGCTTCTTTTTTTCAAAGAGGAAGGGAGAGGGAGAGAGTGACAGAAATATCAATGATGAGAGAGAATCATCGATCGGCTGCTTCCTGCACCCCCCACATAGGGATCAAGCCCGCAACCTGGGCATGTACCCCTGACCAGATTTGAACCCCAGACCCTTCAGTCTGCAGGCTAATCCTCTATCCACTGAGCAAAACCAGCCAGGGCTGTATCTAGCTTCCTTATTAGCATATTGTTTACTAGGTTCATCCTTATTGCAGCATATATAGGTACTTCATTACTTTTAATATATATATTGATTTCAGAATGAAAAGGAGATGGCAGGGAGTTAGAAGCATCAGTGATGAGAGAGAATCATTGATTGGCTGTCTCCTGCATACTCCCCATTGGTGATTGAGCCCACAACCTGGGCATGCGCCCTGTCTGGGGATTGGCTCATATGTCGATGTTCAGTCACTGAGCTATGCCGGCTAGGCAGTACTTCACTACTTTTTATGGCTGATTAATATTCCATTGTACAGATACACCACATTTCATTTATCCATTCATTAGTTGATAGACACTTGGGTTGTTTGCACCTTTTGGCTATTATGCATTGTGCTACTTTTGAACATGTGTATAAAAGTTTTGTGTGAGGTATTTAATTTCCCTTGGTTATATATCTAGTATGGAATTACTTGGCCATATGATTGAATGACATTTAACTTTTTGAGGAACTGCCAAATTGTTTTTCAAATGGCTGCACTATTTTCACTCCTACCAGCAATGTACAGTGTTTTCCATTTCTCCACATCCTCACCAACACTGTAATTATCTTTTTTGTTTTTGACATTTTAGTGGGTATGAAGTAGTGGTATCTCACTGTGGTTTTTATTTACATTTCCTTTATGAGTAATGATGCTGAGCATTTTTCTTGCGCTTATTGGCCACTTGAATATTTATTTGGAAAAATGTTTATTGAAATCCTTTGCCCATTTTTAAGTTAGGTTGTCTTTTTATTGTTGAGTTGTAAGCATTCTTTACATACTGTATTCTGTATACTATACTCTTATCAGACATAATTTGCAAATATTTTCTTCTATTCTGTGGGTTGTCATTTTACTTTCTTAATAATGTCCTTTGCATAGAATTTTAAAAATTTGTTGAGATTCTCTTTAACTAGTCAGCTCTACATTGCTATGAAAGGCCAAGCCAGTAGTGGGTCTGGGCTTTTTCCTGGGACAGTTAGGAGTATGTTTTGAGGGACTTGAGGAAGGAATTGAGTACCAACCTTAGCTGCAGCTCAAGTATCATTATCACGCATGTCATTTTGGAGTGAAGAAGCCCTGAGGGGCAATCAGGGTCAGCAGCCACTGCTTGCACCTGCTGATGGCACCAAGTGGTCAGGGCTGGCGCAGGGCATTGGCAGCAGGTGCAAGTGCCAGGTGGGACAGCAATGCACGGGACCAAAGAATTTTCAGTAATGACCAGAGGCTCATTCCGATGACAGAGAACGGTGCCCTACCTAAGTCAGGCACCTCCACTCACCTGTTCCACCATGCCTTCGTGGCTGATGCCTGCCATGGGTCCATGTGCGCTCCCTTGTGGTCAGCGCACGTCATAGCGACTGGTTCAGTTCTGCTGTTTGGTCTATTTGCATTTTAGGGTATTATATATACTGAGTGGCCAGATTATTATGCGTTCAGAGATCATAATAATATGGGCACTCAATGTATATACTAGAGGCCTAGTGCACAAAATTCGTGCACGGGAGAGGGAGGGTGCCCTCAGTCCAGCTTGCACACACTCCAATCTGGGACTCCTCAGGGGATATCTGACTGCCTGATCCCCAACGCCAACCTAGTCGCCACACACAGCCTGCTGCTCAGTCATGTGATCGTCCCTCGCTAACCCCCCTGGTTGCCCCCATGCAGTCTCTTCTGTCGTTCATTCTGTTGTTTTGGTTGTGACAGTCGCATACACACACACACACACACACACACACACACACACACACACACATATAGATAGATATATACACTGAGAGGCCAGATTATTATGACCACACCATTAGTACTTCATTGGGCCACCTTTTGCCTTCAGTACTGCGGCGATTCTTCTTGGCATTGACTTCATGAGATGTTGAAAGGTGATGCGAGGAATCTGACACCATGCCTGATGAATAGCACTGTCCAGTTTTGTGAGATTTGATGGTTGTGGAACCAGCTGCCTGATGGCTCTTTTAACTTCATTCCACAAATGCTCAATTGGATTGAGATGTGATGATTGTGGGGTCACCTAGGCAAGGTAAAGTCTCCCTCATGTTCTTAAAACCACTCCTGCACAACACGAGCACCATGGCATGGCGCATTGTCTTGTTGGAAGAAGCCATCAACATGATAGGATGAACTTAATCAGCAATAATACTTAGGTATGTTGTGCTATTCAGACATTGTTCCACATTAATTAAAGGGCCCAAATCATGTCATGACACTGCCCCCACCAGCTTGAAGGGTTGTACTCATGCATGTCGGGTGCATGCTTTCATGCTGTTTTCATGAAATTCTCCCTCTGCCATCTGCATGATGCAACTGGAAACGTGATTCATCGGACCATATGACTTTTTTCCAATGCTCGACTGTCCAATCCCTGTGTTCCGGTGTGAATTGGAGACGTTTTATCTTGGTAACTGCAGACAGCAAAGGTGTTCGAACAGGTCTTCGTCTTCCATATCCCAAGTGATTTAGTGTATGGCTAATTTGCCTATAAACGTCAGGTGATCATAATAATCTGGCCACTCAGTGTATATAATGGAGTTATAGTTTCTAGAATCAGACAATTCATGGCCGATTTTGTACTAAATGAATGCCTAGCAGAAATTCCTAAGTCCTGAGTAGTGCAGGGAAATTTCTTACTGTGTAGAACTGACCTGCATTTTGCACCCCTGCATTTTGACCTGCATTTCCCACTCACAAATTGGAGTGCCACTTGATCATGTGACAATCAAAAGAAACCCCCAAACTTTTCCAAATGCCCTCTACAGGCATTATTACCTTTATGAAAACCACTGATCTATAGGATTTGTAGTTGACAGACTTCTAATTTGTTATTTCAGGGTCAAGTTCAAGGCTTTGTGCCTTTGAGCACACAAAAGAGCACCATTTGAAAGTCAGTCTCTGAGAAGTTTTTTTGATGTATCATGGCACAGTGAGCAATTAAAAGATGAAAAATGAGACCTGTTTTAACAGTTAACTTTTACATGCAAATGTATATATTTATACATACATGAAGTCCGTGTTTAGGTTATGAACATTTCTTTAAAAACTAGGCATCATCTCTCAGAAATGTTTATCTCTTTGAAAATACTTTTATGGGAAAATAAGACATCATTTGGATTGCCAACATTTATATTTATGGAACCAAAGCCCTTCATAAAGAAATGTGGAGGCAGGTTGAGTTCACTGATCCTCCTCTGCTTGGTCCCCCAGTACTCATTTCAAATACTAGGGAAGAGAAGTGCTTAGTCAGTCTCAGTGGTCACTTAAAGGAAATGTGCTTGTGTCATTCTAACCAGATTTGACTTGTCTCAGAGTAAAATCTTTAATATTAAGCTGGATTGTTTTTCCTTTAAACTAAAACAGCAACAACCACAAAAGCCTTCACCTATCTTGTACTATGATTTTTTACCTAATTGGGTCAATGCATTTGTTTACTCAGACTCAGCACAGAGCTGGTATATAATAAGCCTTCACTAAATATTCGAATGAATGAATCTATAGCTTTTATAGACATTAACTTTTCTAGCACTGGAGTATAAAGTAAATTGATGTTGATATTTTGTGTTTCTTATCTTACAGGTAGATATCACATTTGTTTGCTTTAAATATTGAGAATCAATGATTAATATACTTTTAACCATTTCAGGGTGGATTCATGCTGTGCTCACTTCTCAGGACTGTATGGCTTTTGGCGGAAACTTTCTGCACAACCTTAATATTGGCATGCAGCTCAGGTTTGTGTCATCAGTATTTAAAGGATCTTTTGTCCTTTCTTTTAAACAGGGTGTTGTTTCAAAATCTAAATTCAACAACATATTTTAATTGAGATATCAAGGAGATAGGCCTGAGAATTTATTAAGAACAGGAACTATTAAAAAAATAGTTTTATTGATTTCAGAGAGGAATGGAGAGGGAGAGAGAGAGAGAGAAAAATCAGTGATGAGAGAGAATCATTGATCGGTTGACTCCTGCACACCCACTCCTGGGGATCAAGCCCACAATTTGGGCATGTGCCTTTAATCGGAATCAAACCCGGGACCCCTTCAGTCAGCAGTCTGACACTTGATATCTGCTGAGCCAAATTGGTAAAGCAAGAATAGGAACTTTTAACAAAAGTATTGTCATAAAAATTTTGTCAGGAGGATAGCTTGATGCATTTTAAGTCTAAAATTAAAAAATTATTTATTCAATTTGAGACTAAATATCTCCCCAACTTTCAAAATTGCATAAAAATATATGGGCTCTCCTTTGGCTGTTTTTACAATGAGGAAAATGAACTAAATCTAGTTGATCTCAGGTATAACTATGGTGCTGGGAAAAAGCAACCCTAAGTTCAGATGGCTGTCAGAACATCTGTAATTTTACATGGGGAAATAATTAACAGCTCTTTCCCCTTCTGTGTAAGAAGGTGACCTTTACCTCACTCTGTGCCCCTGGTAGCCTATGGGGGGAGAACGTTACTAGGCAGCACTGCTTACAGTGAAATGACTCCTGTTTGATAAACCGCATCAGGACTTGGAGAACTAGAGTACCTAGTAGGAAGCCATGTGTTTGGGCTTTCCTGAGTGTGGTGATCTTGTAGCTTTGCTTGCCCTTCATGGGGACCCTGGATGTTATGTGTCTGTGGAGTTACTACACGAAGTACTGGCCCTTACCAGGCATGAGGCTTTAAGTTAGGACAGCTCCCACACTGCCAGCTGTGAATCTTGTTTCTGTATACCTGAGCTGTCCCCAGAGGAAAAGTGGCTCCTGGATGTATTGATGGCTGCAAAGACGCCCACAGAAGATGAACACTGTGGCAAGCTGTGGTTCCTGTCTCCTCCCCTTGCCCAGCACCAAGTGTGGTCTTGAGCTTGAATGCTTGGTAGAAACTAAAGAAAACCCGAGTGGGTTGTTCAATACATGAAGTTGATTTGTAAACATAGTGTCTTATTTATTATAGTAGAACCCTTAAGAAATTTCTTCTGTTAAGACTAGGATAAGAACCCCGAGGTCTGATCTTTTAGAAGACCAATGTAATTCTTCAGTATACTGTCAAATTTGTTAAGGTCTGACCTGGATAAGGTCATAATTCAGGCTTATTCAAATGTTGTATTATGTAATATACAGTACTTGATTGTTCTTACATGTCAGAGCCTGCTTATTTTATTTTCCTTAAGTTGGTTACCTTCATTTAACTTTGAAATGCTAACATAAATACTAAATTTCTTAAATTATGTTTATTCAGGTGTTATGAGATGGAAAAAAGGCTAAAAACACCAGATCTTTTCAAATTCCCTTTCTTTGAAGCCATATGTTGGTTTGTAGCCAAAAACTTGCTGGAAACCCTGAAAGGTAATTAATAATCTGTCCATCTTGCAGTGTGATGTGATACATGCTCTTTGTAAATTGACTAAAAGCCAGTGAGAGCGACCCTTTTTTAGTATGGTATTGCTGTTCCTATGTTATTTTTTTAAATGCATGATTTCCTCTGGTCAAGAACTTCTTAACAAATTAGAGTCTCTTGTCCAATGGTCGCCAACCTTTTGGACCTCATGGACCACTAGTAGTCCGTGGGCCACCAGTTGGTGACCGCTGCAACCTTAAAAAGCAGATATATGAAGAGCTGCATCAGAACAGGTAATGTTAAAAATATTCATTTCACCTGGGACTCTACTGGCCTGTACACACTGTCAGGCATGTAAAAGTGCCTTGCCTGCAAGAATGCAGTTTAAGCCAAGACTATTATGTAATAATAGAGGCCTAGTGCATGGATACATGCATTGATGGGGGTTCCTCGGCCTGGCCTGTGCCCTCTCGTAATCCAGGACCCCTTGGGGGATGTCAGACTGCTGTTTTCGGCCCAATCCCCATAGTCCAGGCTGAAGAACCCCACTGGTGCACAAATCCGTGCACTGGGCCTCTAGTATGCATATATTTGGTTAATCTCTTCCCACCCTCTCCCTACCCCCTTCCTTATGAAATTCATCAGTCTGTTCCATGTTTCCATGCCTATGCGTTGAGCATCTGCCCCCTGGTGGTCAATGTGCATCATAGCTACTGGTCAAACAGTCACTTAGGCATATATATATATATATATATATATATATATATATATCCCCCAAATATTTGCTTTTAAAATTCCAGGGCATAATTTTCATGTCTTGAGAGAATGAGGTAGTGCCTATGCTATTATCATTTTATGCTCACTATGCTGGCCAGTATAAGGCACCTGTTAGTACAAACCAACTGGATGTCAGGCTGAATCTAGTTGAAGAAAAATATTTGGGGTTTTGTTGGGGGGAAAGAGAGGTTGTTACTTATCCCTTTATTTAAACTTGAAAGCTACCTTTTTTATGTGGAATTTCAAATTGGGTGTTTTATCTTTTGGTTTAAAAATCTTTGAGCAGTGCCGAGACCGGTTTGGCTCAATGGATAGAGCGTCAGCTTGGGGACTGAAGGACCCGGGTTCGATTCCGGTCAAGGGCATTTACCTTGGTTGCAGGCATATCCCTAGTAGGGGGTGTGCAAGAGGCAGCTGGTCGATGACTCTCTCTCATCGATGTTTCTAACTCTGTATCTCTCTCCCTTCCTCTCTGTACAAAATCAATAAAATATATTTTTAAAAAAATCTTTGAGCAGTCAAATTGGAAATTGCATATCACATTTCCCTTTATCCTTTTTTTTTTTTTTTGCGTTTAATTCAGTTGTGTCCTTGAGAATACAGTTCATCTGTTTTTTATGTCATTTAACTTGTCCAGTCCATTTTCAAATAGTGCTACTATTATAATTAACTTCCAGAAGAAACAGATATAAGCAGATTAAACAGTAAAGTATATCCTACACATATTTCTTTTTCCATTTAAAAGTTACATAAGAAGAAAAGGTGAAATGAAAAGAAATAACCAGAACTTACTTCTCAGGATAGCATGCACAGAATTAAATGATAAAATAAAATACAATAAAATAAAATATATTGATTGCAGAGAGGAAGGGAGAGGGGAAATAGAAACATCAATGATGAGAGAGAATCATTGATTGGCTGCCTCCTGCACGCCCCACACTGGGGATCAAGCCTGCAACCTGGACAGGTGCCCTGACTGGGAATTGAACCTCTCATGGATCATAGTCGACATTCACACCGGCCTGGCAAATGATAAAACTTATTTATGGTTTTTTTGCTCAATGAAAGGTCTCACTATCTTTAGGATGAAAGAATAACCCCATCCTACACCTGCAGCACAGCATACAGGGAGATGTTGATGGTGCAAATGTCTGTAATGGAGATAGGAGCCCATGGATGAGGAAGAACAGGTACTCTCTGCACCAGATCAATCTCTGCTCCAGAAACAACTCCTTATCCTGAACCTGACTCATCCAGTGTTTTCAGGTGTTTTTGGGCTGCAGGAATGTCACAATGGACTGTTCATAGTAAAATTCTAAACATTGAAATTCATAGTCTCATATGCAAGTAGAACTCTAGATATATATACACTTATGGATGTTCTTATTTTCTGGAAATAAAACGCAGTAACTGAACACTCCAGATTAGAGAAATCAAATTAAGAATTTATCTTAAAGATAAAATCTTGCTGTTCTTGCAGTCATAAGAGGCAGATTGTCTAGTCTGAGAATGGATTAGCCTTTATTTTAGTCCATTGAGAGTTCAGAACTATTGAGATCTGATTAGAAAACATAATCCTATACATTAAAGTAAAAAAAAGATTAGTATAAAAGGGTATTTGCAGGTGAGATTTTTTTTTAACAAAATATATTTTATTGATTTTTCACAGAGAGGAAGAGAGGGATCGAGAGTTAGAAACATCGATGAGAGAGAAATATCAAACAGCTGCCTCTTGCACACACACACACACACACACACACACACCCCCACTGGGGATGTGCCCGCAACCAAGGTACATGTCCTTGACCGGAATCGAACCTGGGACCTTTCAGTCCGCAGGCCGACGCTCTATCCACTGAGCCAAACCGGTTTTGACTGCAGGTCAAATTTTAGAGTGTTTTTATTTCATCTGCCAGATCAGAACTGGATACCTGGCATGACTAGTGTATCTCACTGAGGATAGAGACAAAGGAACATTATACCAGTGCCACTTCCTACACATTCATCCTAGAATCAGTATTGGTGGTCTTGTTACCCCACCTTATATTGTCCTTTCATCTCTGACCTTTTAACTTTCCCTTGTGGCCTATTATTTGCCATCTCTTAAACTGTTATAGGCTTATATGATAGGTTAAATGGGAGAGGGTTGTATGAAACTCTAAACTAAATTTAGTGTCAGTAATAATAAAACAATTTGGGGTATATGTAAGTAAATTAGCCACAGGACAGAAGTAGAAATCTTTTTTTTTTTTTTTAATATATTTTATTGATTTTGTACAGAGAGGAAGGGAGAGAGATACAGAGTTAGAAACATCGATGAAAGAGAGTCATTGATCAGCTGCCTCTTGCACACCCCCCACTGGGGATATGCCCGCAACTAAGGTACATGCCCTTGACCGGAATCGAACCCGGGTCCCTTCAGTCCCCAAGCCGACGCTCCATCCACTGAGCCAAACCGGTCCCGGCCAGAAGTAGAAATTTTTCACTTTTGCTTCAACTTACCTGAGTTGTAGACCACATCTAATCTATTTTAAATAATCAATTTGGTTAAAAAACCCAGAAGAGACTGGGTTTGTAGGAGCAGGTGTGTATTTACAATAGTGAATTATTTCATGCCCATAGTGAAGTGTTTGGATCACACATTGCCTACACATACACTCTCGTACAGCTTAAAGAATTATAAATCTCACTCAGGGTGATCAGAAACAGCCTTGTCAGTACCCTAGTCATGCTCCTTATTTTTCCCATTGTACCCTCTGCTTCCCTTCAAGAGAGAACCTATTATCCTGACCTTCATGATAATCCTTTTTTTCTGCTTTATCACCTATGTCATAAACTAAAATGGTTTAATTTCTAGACATCATATGACTAGCTTCATACTGACGTTTTTTGTGACCTGTTTTTTAATCAGCATTATGTTTGTGAGCTTTCTTTTAACTTGAGCATTTAGTACAATGACATTTAATGTAATCCTGTATTTTTTCTTATTTCCCCCAATCAGTTGTTTATTAACCTTTTTCCTTTCTGTTAATTTGGAAGTTATGCAGTTTTATATTTATTGGTTACTCAAAATGTAAAATTGATTATTTTATCTTTGGAATGCTTACCTCCTTTCCCTGCTTCTTCCATCCCCACAGAACTGAGAGAAGATGGTTTTCAGCCTCAGACTTACCTAGTACAGGGCGTGAAAGCACTGCATACTGCTTTAAAATTGTGGATGAAAAAAGAAGTAAGTAGTTTTCTTTGGTGAAATAATTGTTATTTTTCATATGGTAAGTTTAGGAAAACTGAGTCCTCAAGCTGTGTGTCAAGAGTAGCCACAGTAGAAGGACTAGAAACCATGGTTTAAATACAGCCTTCATTTTATGTTCAGCAATACAACCATTTTATGTACAGCAATACAAATGGTTTATGTTTCTGTGAGAATTAAGGACACAGTATTTCTTTAAGCTGGAAAAGAAAGTAATTCAAGTATACCTAGGGTACTAAGAAATGAACATGTAAATGTAGACTAATAATAAATAACTGAGCTCTCATTGTGTGCCAACCACTGTGTTTAGTCCTCATATCCAAGCAACTATATTAAGTCTGGGTGCTGTTAAAATCCCCATTTACATGTGGGGAAGCTGAGGTTCAAGGAATTTAAGTAACTTGCACAAGAGACTCCGTGGAGGTAGGATTTAAATCTAGGTTTCTGCAATTGCAAAGCCATGCTCTTATCCCTCTTCTAGACTTACGGAAAAAATGAAAGAAAGGAAGCAGGAGCTTTCCATTTTCACTAAAATGTGGTCTAGTTGTTGCATTTGAGTTTCTCCTTTTCTAAGAGGTCGTCCCAGATCTCCTTTTGGATTTGGTATGTCCTTCCTATATGCTTCCACTGCACGTTTCTTGTGCCAGTGGACTAGGATTACTTCAGTGCCTGTGTTACCCCTTACAAATTCTTCTTTATTATTAATTATTAGTTTTAATTAGTTATTTTACTAATTATAGTAGTCTTTTGAGGTCTAAAGTATAAGGTTACTACTCAAACTAAAGCAAAATTCACAATGAGACCAGTCCATCTTTATCTCAACCTAAGAGGATTTTATAAATTAATATAGATCTCATTAGAAGATCTTTTAATAAAGATAACTTAGAAGGTATCACACCAACCACATGCACTCTGAGTCCTGGATTATTCTATTTAGCTGTGTCTATAAAATCTGGAGAATCCAAAAATTGGCTTAATAAGTTTTTTACATATTAAAGTATAACTAACTTTGGTTGTTTTGTCTTTGTTAATCCAAATACAGCTTGTATCCGAACATGCCTTTGAAATCCCAGACAATGTTAGACCTGGACATCTTATTAAAGAACTTTCTAAAGTAATTCGAGCAATAGAGGTAAGTGTACAAACTGTCATCTAAATTCATCTAAACTCTTGGTTGTTATCTGCTTTGAGAAACAAATAGATCTGCCACCACACTACAAACATCTGAAAGCTCTTACTTCCCAGGTTCAAGGAATTAAAAAAAAAAAAAAAATGAGCTGTCTTAGAAACAGTTTCCAGGTTCCTAAATTCCTAGAGAGAAATGTAGAGGGTTGTGTCATTATGAAGTAATAAGGAAGTTATTTCAGATTACTCCAAAAATACAAAATTAAAAAAAGTTTCAGATCCAGTTCATTTTACCTGTGCAGAGATGAATACATGTTTAGTGATTAGAAAAAGAGAGGAAATGTAAGGTGAATAGAGCTAGGTGAAGTTGGGTTGGAAAGAGGAAGATATTAGTGTGGTGGGACAAGGAGAGCTGCTCAATTGGAAATATTAGAACATGTTGGTTAAGCAAATGCCCTTTGACAAAAGCTCACAGAATCTGAGATTAGATGTTTTAAGTAATCATTTAGGAGCTATTTTAGGTATTAAAGGAGGTTTTAATTAAACTAATTTAAGAAGGTGGTTCTCTTAATGTTTAGCTTGAACTGAAAGGAAATTAAGTGGAGGAATGGAGGCTAACTCAATTAACAGCTCAGATTAGGTCTGTATGTGGGGAATGGAAAGTGGGGTACAGCTAAGAAAGGTTAAAAGGATTTGATATCCTATTTGGGTTATATGCAGACTTGGCCATTATGAATGAGACTATTATGAACATTCTTATATCTCTTTTGTGTTTTTTTTTTTTTTTTTTTTTTTTGGATAAATACCTGGGGATAGAGTTTAGCCATAAGAAGTGAATTTAAAATTTGTGAGAATCTGCCAGTTTTCCAGAGTGGTTATACCATTTTACATTCTTACCAGTAATGTGCAGGCATTGTAGTTGTTTTGTATTTTCACCAATATTTGTTGTTTACAGCCTTTAAATTTTTTGCTATCCTAGAGAATGTGGAATATTATGTCAGTGTGGTGTTAATTTGCATTTTCCTGAAGATTAAAGATGAGTACCTTTTTGTGTGCACATCATTGTTGTATATATTCTTTTAGGAAGTTTGCAGTTTTTGTCCATTTAAAAATTATTGATTTGTAAGAGTTCATTATATGTTCTGGACACAAATTCATTGTCATTTGGCCTGCAGTCATTCATATCTATATAAAATAACTAACATATACCTACAGCCTGTATCTTTTCATGAGCAGAAACTTTTAATTTTGAAAGTTTAGTGTATCAACTCTTTTTGTTTTTTAGTTAGTGTTATTTTATGACTTCTCTAAGAAATATTTTTCCACCCCAGGGTCTTAAAAATACTTTCTATTTTACCCCCCAAAAAGCTTTTGTATCTAGGTAAAATGGCCAGTTTTGAATTTTTTGTATATTGCATACGATAAATAAAGACATTTCCCCCTATATGTTTATCTAGTTTTCTGAGCACCATTATTTGAAACCATTAGCTCTTTAATGTTTCTTTTTAAAAATACATAGAGAGCCCAGAAGAGTTTCAAAGACAAAGACCAAAAATAAAGCAAAAAAGAAAAATATTAAAAGGAAACAATCATTAAATAAGTCTATAGCTCAAATCCAAATATAATTTATATAATCAGGAGAGAAAATAGTAAAATTGATTCTATGAAAAAAGGATAGGAGGATGCAACAAAGGAGCATTCAAAGAAGAAAAAAAAGGATTCTTGGAAGTTAGAAATTAATAGAAACAAAATTTAGTGGAATGGCTGGAAGATCACATTGGGAAAATCTCCCATAAAGTTAAAAAGAAACACACAGAAGTAGGACAGAAAAATTAAAAGATCATTTTATACAGTCTTCATCAAAATAATAGGAGCTCTCCAGAAAAAGATAACAGAGAAAACCAGAAGATTTTCAGAGGACTTCATCTTGCATAGTAGAATTCAAGGACACATCTTTCCAAATTGATAGTCCTCAAAAATGGCAGTACAAATGAAAAAGACATCAGCCAAGACACATCATGGTAAAATTTAGAGTATCCTATATACTAAAGAGTTAATATGCAAATTGACCATAATTCCAAAACACAAGATGGCCACCCCCATGTGAACACAAGATGGCCACCACCAGATTGCCAGCAGGGGAGGGCAGTTGGGGGAACCAGAACTTCAAGGGAGGGCAGTTGGGGGACCAGGCCTACAGGGAAGGGCAGTTGAGGGGACCAGACCTACAGGGGAATGCAGTTGAGGCGACCAGGCCAGCAGGGGTGGACAGTTAGGGGTGACCAGGCCAGCAGGAGAGGGCAGTTAGGGGCAATCGGGCCAGCAGAGGAGCAGTTAGGTGTTGATCAGGCTGGCAGGCAGAAGCAGTTAGGGGCAATCAGGCAGGTAGGCAGATGAGCGGTTGGGAGCCAGCAGTCCTGGATTTTGAGAGAGCAGTCAGACATCCCTTGAAGGGTCCAGATTGGAGAGGGTGCAGGCTGGGCTGTGGGACACACAACCCCACCCCGTGCACGAATTTCATGCACTGGGCCTCTAGAATGTAATAATGTACATCTGAAAAAGCATTAGTGAAAATATTATGAGTCATATACAAAGAATTGGGAATTAGAATAACAAAATTTCTCAACAATAACACTGCAAACTAAAAGACAGTGGAGCAAAGTCCTTAACATCCTGGGGTTGGGGGATGCCAGCATACATGTCTGTATTCAACCAAGACATAAACCAAGTATGATGGTAAAATAAAGATGTCAAAGAGGCAATTAACAATGTACCACCCATGTGCCCCTTTCTCAGGAAACTAAGAGAATGTGCTGTTCTAAGAAAAAAGAAGTAAATCAAAAAGGAGGGTTCCAAGAATTCATTCTTCTAACAAATACTGAGTACCTATCACAGCTTTGTACACGGTAGGCTAGGCATAGAGCAGTGAACAAAGGTCCTGCCAATGGGGCTCAGTAATAAGAGGGTAGCCATATAGATTTTATTATATCAGGAATTGGCAAAGTGCTATTAAGAAAAATAAAGGAGGGAGGAAGGATAAGGAATGATGGCCAGAGGTGGTGGTGGCGGCAGCAGTGTTATATGGTGGAGTGGAAGCTGGTCAGGAAGGGTCTGTGTTGACATGTACAGGCCCAGAGAGCAGCCAGTCCAGGATGGATCTGGAGAGTGGGATCCAAACTTAACTGGATGCCTCATACTTTATCTGACAATCACATCCAGAAGATATCTCCAAAGCAAAATATAAATTTGATTACCTAATGTGTTTTGAATGTTTGCATTCTTCCAGTGGAGAATTTTGGGATTAATTAGTGTTAAGTACATATAAAACAAGCTGATGGAAAGTGAGGCAGTTATGAACTCAGAGAAAAATCAAAGGATAAAAAGGAAAATAATATTATGTAGCACTAGGCTGTAAATAATTTTTACTGAGTTCAATTTAAATATTGAATATTGAAGGCAGGGGAAGTATGTGTATATTTGAGAGATGATGTCAGGATTAAGACTTACTTCATCTTGTGTAGTAGGAATTCAGTGATATAGCAACAGGTAAAACAAGAAATAACAGTATAAACATATTATTTAGAAATTTGGAGGCAAATAACTGAAAGAAAAAACTAAACAACAAAAACAGCTGCAAGAGTTGTAAGAGCTGGCTATATATCCAAAAAAATTGAAAGCAGGGACTCAAGCTGATATATGTATAGCATGTTCATAACAGCTTTATTCACAGCAATCAAAGATTCTATCCTAGGAGAATGGATAACCAAAATATGGTATATTCATGCAATGGAATATTAACCTTATAAAAAAAAGAATTCTGACACATGCCACAACATGGATGAACCTTGAAGACATTATGTTAAGTGAAATAAGACAGTCACAAAGAGACAAATATTGTATGATTGCATTTATATGAGGTTTCTAAAGCAGTTAAATTAATATAAATAGAAAGTAAAATGATGGTTGTTAGGGCTGACAGTAAGATGGAATGGGCATTATTGTTTAATGGGTACAGAGTTTTTTAAGTTTGGGGAAATTTAAAAGTTCTGGAAATAGATGCTGGTGACAGTTGGACAACAATGCGAAATGTACTTAATGTCACTGAACTCTGTACATAAAAATGGTTAAATGGTAAATTATGTATCGGTTACAACATTTGTTATATGTATATGACACTAGTTTTTAAAAAGTTGTAAGTGGTTTCTTCCAGAGAATGGGAATTGGCATGGGGAAGAGTAGATTGCAACTTTCCATGATATGCTTATAGAATTTTAATTTTTCAAAACTACGTAAATGTGTGACTTTGCTTTAGAAAGCAATTATTGATTTATGCAGCTATGTATGTGAAAAAAATGTACATGGAGCCCTGGCTGATTTGGTTTAGTGGATAGATTGTCACGGCCTGTGAACTGAAGGATCCTGGGTTCGATTCCAGTCAAGGGCATGTGTCCAGGTTGTGGGTTCATCCCCAGTAGAAGGTGTCCAGGAGGTAGCCGATCAATGATTCCATCTCATCATTGATGTTTCTTCCTCTCCCTCTCCCTTCCTCTCTGAAATCAATAAAAATATATTTAAAAAATTGCCGAGACCGGTTTGGCTAATGGATAGAGCATCGGGTTGGGGACTGAAGGGTCCTGGGTTCGATTCCGGTCAAGGGCATGTACCTTGGTTGCGGGCTTATCCCCAGTAGGGGGTGTGCAAGAGGCAGCTGATCGATGACTCTCTCTCATCAATGTTTCTAACTCTCTATCTCCCTTCCTCTCTGTACAAAATCAATAAAAATATATTTAAAAAAATATATATATATATATATTTAAAAAATATATTTTTAAAGAACGTACAGTAGAAGTAGCCTGACTAACTCCTAGTAACTTTTATGTCAGTAAATCATGCACTGAAGTACTAGAAAGCCTTTAAAATTATATTGAAAATCAAGAAAATATGTTCATAGTATATAATTACATGAGAGAGAAAAGAAAATAAAGGCCTCAGCAAAGCTGTTTATTTTATTATTTGGTCTTTTTGTTTATATAATTAAATTGAATTGTTTTTCTTTTCTAAAATATTTCTATGGCTGATTACTTAGGTATGTATGTAGCCTTATTATAAAAATACTCTGAATTGAATTCTTAAAGGAGGAAAACAGCAAGCCAGTTAAATCTCAGGGAATTCCTACTGTGTGTCCAGCCTCACGATCCTCAAATGAAGCAACTTCCCCATACCATTCCCGACGAAGGATGAGGAAACTTCGAGATCATAATGTCCGAACTCCTTCTAACCTAGACATCCTAGAGCTTCACACAAGGGAGGTACTCAGAAGGTTAGAGATGTGTCCTTGGGAAGAGGCAAGTATTATGTTTTATGATGACAAAGAGACTTCATGTTCCTTAAAGTTCTTTAAATGGATACTAAAAGGAGAATAGTCTGACCAGTCATGTTATCTAATCTTCCCTTAGCTTTGTGTGGGAGTCAGCAGTGCTTATGCCCGTGGCAGGGGGCGGTGCTTCAACTTTCTGGGCATCAATGCAGAAGTAGGATGACCAGATCTCATTCATTCACGGGCATGTTTATTGAGCGTTTACCAAGGCCATGCTCTTACAGGCTCTAGAGAAGATGCTAGAGTGGCACAACTTAAGTCCCTGCCATTGTGTAGCTTCCATCCTAGCTCAGGTTGGAAGGATGGGAGACAGAGAGATACATTAAAATAATATAATTTCAGATAATCATTATGAAGGAAGCCAAAATAATAGAGCAATAGATAAAGGGGCTTAGGATGGCTGGCTACTTGAGCTAGAGTGGTCAGAGAGCTCTCAGGTGGTGACATCTGAACTGACACTTAAATAATGGGAAGAAGTTAGATGGATACACATATCTGAGAAGTATTGCTGGCAGAGAGAAAAGCAAGTGCAAAAAGCCTATCCTTTACCCGATAGCATCAGCAGGAGTGACTGTTAGAATAAATCCATTCAAGTTTTAGAAATGCTGGCCTCATGGACAAGGAGGCAGGCAGTAATCCAGTCAATGTAGGGCCTTGTGAAACTTGGTAATGAGTTTGCAATGAGATCTGTATCGTTCATAATTTTACATATTAGAGGATAGGCAACAATTTAAAATGAACAAAATAGAGATATCTCTGAATTAAAATATTTTAAAACTAATATACTTTCTTCAATACTTTAAAACCAATTAACTTTCTTCAATATTTTAAATGGTATAGAATTTTTTATACTGTTCTAAGATTTTGTTGTTCCAAACCTCCTTAACCTATAGCCATCTGTGAGAAGATTTAGCACATTATGAAAGGTTCTATTTATTATTAAATAAACATTTTCCACATAAAGGAAATACTCTTTATGTATTAAAAACCAGTTATTGTGTGCCGTTATGCCACATGGTGGCCTTTGTTCCTAGTGATAACAATATGGTGACCTGTAAGCTACTGCCAGTGCCTGATGGGAAGACTAGCGAGTAGGTTAGAGGTAGGGTAATCGGAAAGGACCAGCAGCTAGTACTTAAGCCAGGGAGGGAAGGAGAAGCACAGTACACTGAGGCAGTGCTCTCCAGATTTCTGCAAGAGCTTTATACAAGTTTTACATCCTACCTTATTGTGTCATTGTTAATGGCCCTACAGAAAGACAAACCACATTCCTGCTTTGGCTTTAGGAACCGTTTGGTTTTAGTGGCACACTGCTGCCTGTCCCCTGGCCTGGGGGCTGCCTAGTCCAGTTTGGGATGCAGAGCTAAGGGAGGAGGTGGTGGCTTGACTTTATTCATTTATTCAAGTGGGTATATTTGAGTGTGGAGATTAAGTAAGTTCTGTTTTTATATTTTAGGACATCTTGAGCTCTAAACTGAATGGTAAATTTAATAAACATCTCCAGCCATCTTCTACCGTACCCGAATGGAGAGCAAAAGATAATGATCTACGATTACTGCTGACAAATGGAAGGATAATTAAGTATGTAAACCAGATCAAAGTATCCAACCGATTAGCTTTCAGAGGATTCCCTCTGTTTACTGAATCCTAGTCCCTTTGTTGTTTAGCTAACTGAACTGTGGGGCAAGTGGCTTAATCCTCCACTCTCTGTAAATTAAAGGGGGGAGCGAACTCTTTGGCTGTACAAGTTGTACTATTTTTTTAACTTATTTTTCCCTCTTTATACAGAGACGAAAGACACCCCTTCGCAGATCAGAGTCTTTATACAGTAGACAGTGAAAGTGAAGAGGATAAGGGAAGGACAAAAAAGGCAAAAATGAAGATAGAAGAGAATTCAGGAATAGAAGCAGTGGAGAATGAAGAATTTCAGAAACCCTTTAACAGTATGTTTGTTTTAATGGTCATTGTAAAGGTCTCTTTATTACTAATGTGATACCATGTGAAGTAACTTGCAAGTTCTTACATTTGTACTAGGTTTGAAAATGATTGCGTTTCTGATATTCTTTTGAGAAATCTCAGGTATTCCTGAATAATGTATCCATTAGGGAAATACTGACTGTGAATGTCCGAGTTGTGTAGAACCCAGGGAAGACGTTTTAATGGTGAGGACATGCGCAAGTTAGTGACATGCTTGTCTGTTGACAGTTTTTACAAGCATCACACGAAAGCTCATGCTCTACTCCAAATAATAAAACAGTCCCAAGCTGAATGGGATTTCACAGATAATTTTAGCTAACATGTATATGGTTTTCAGACGTAGCAGACCTAAAGCTATTAGTAATCCAGGTATTGTTTTTCTCGGCTGCCTGTTGACAAGAGGCCCTCTACTTGGTTATTAATTGCTTATCATTAGTGTGACAAATAGTAATACCTCTTTCTCCTCAATATTAAGGAGCAGTTAAATATTTTGGTATTTGACAAGTAAGTGTTCCAGATCATTCACATTATTTCATCCCAAATTACCATAATTCATGCTAATTTCAGGTAAATGTGATATTGTTGTAATTGGTAACTGCATTTGTCCACATGATGGTGGTTACTCAGTAGAATTCATCAAGCAGTAGTTATGAAGTAGTGCCCCACAGAAGAGAAAGGCAGTGCTGAGGCCCATCTATAAGCCTGTTGAATTCACAAACCACATTCCTGCTTTGGCTTTAGGAACCGTTTGGTTTTAGTGGCACACTGCTGCCTGTCCCCTGGCCTGGGGGCTGCCTAGTCCAGTTTGGGATGCAGAGCTAAGGGAGGAGGTGGTGGCTTGACTTTATTCATTTATTCAAGTGGGTGTAGTTGAGTGTGAGATTAAGTAAGTTCTGTTTTTATATTTTAGGACATCTTGAGCTCTAAACTGAATGGTAAATTTAATAAACATCTCCAGCCATCTTTACCGAATGCTTTTATTATCTGTTGAGAGAAATAATGCAAAAGGGAAATTGAAAAGCTTCTTGTAGCTCATGTTAATGTTAGAGGCTTTTTTTCTGGAAATTAGTGTTTTTATAATTTTTAAATAAGGAATGTATAATTAAGTTTAATAAATTCTAGAAATGTTTGTAGAATATATATACTTCAATTTGCATCTTGGTCAGTTGGGGAGAAAGTCTTTGGAGGAAGAATGAATGAAAAGGTGAAAGGAGGCTAGAGCAGGAGTGATATAGACACGAAGCTGGACGGACTTTCAATATCACCCTGTTCATGACTTTCTCTTTGTCTCTTCCACTTCTCAGGGTTTTTTACAAGTGTGAAGTCAGAACTCAGGAATCGATCATCAGAATATTCTGATATTTCTGATTCGGAAGACTCTGGACCTGATTGCACTGTGCTGGTATGCCCGAAGGCTCATATTGGATGCTATTGGGTGGAAAAAACATCTACTTTCCTTCCCTGTCTCTCTGACCTTTATAGCACAGGGTCGTTCCTTGTGATAATCTCTCTCTCTCTCTCTCTCTCTCTCTCTCTCTCTCTCTCACACACACACACACACACACACACACACACGACTTGTTTACATTTGCTAAATGTAGCTTTATCTGATTTTGGAAATGGTAGAGAAATACTGTTCTTTTTTTTTTTTTTTAAATAAATCTTTATTGTTCAGATTATTACAATTGTTCCCCCGCCCCCATAGGTCCCCTCCACCCGGTCCCCACCCCATCCTCTGCCGTTACTTTCCCCCCCTTGCCTCCTCCCCTCCCTTCCTTCTCCCCCCTCTCCTCCCCCTTCCCGCTGTAATCATCCATAGGTATATGATCTTTGTCCAATCTCTTTCGTACCCCCCCACAGACACCCCTTTCCCCCTGAGAATTATCAACCCCCTCCCATTCTATGCCCCTGATTCTATTATATTCACCAGTTTCTGTTCCTCAGATTTTTAATTCACTTGACTTTTAGATTCACTTGTTGATAGATATGTATTTGTTCATAATTTTTATCTTTACTTTTTTCTTCTTTTTCCTTTTTTTAAAGAACACCTTTTTTTTTTTTTAATATATATATTTTATTGATATTTTACAGAGAGGAGGAAGGGAGAGAGATAGAGAGCTAGAAACGTCGATGAAAGAGAAACATCAACCAGCTGCCTCTTGCACACCCCCTACTGGGGATGTGCCCGCAACCAAGGTACATGCCCTTGACCAGAATCGAACCTGGGACCTTTCAGTCCGCAGACCGACGCTCTACCACTGAGCCAAACCGGTTTCGGCTAAAGAACACCTTTTAGCATTTCATATAATACTGGTTTGGTGGTGATGTACTCCTTTAGCTTTTTCTGATCTGAGAAGCTTTTTATCTGCCCTTCAATTCTGAATAATAACTTTGCTGGGTAGAGTAATCTTGGTTGTAGTTTCTTGCTATTCATCACTTTGAATATTTCTTGCCATTCCTGTCTGGCCTTCATAGTTTCTATTGAGAAATCAGCTGATAATCGTATGGGTACTCCCTTGTAGGTAACTAACTGTTTTTCTCTTGCTGCTTGTAAGATTCTCTCTTTGTCTTTTGCTCTTGGCATTTTAATTATGATGTGTTTTGGTGTGGTCTTCTTTGGATTCCTTTTGTTTGGAGTTCTGTGTGCTTCCTGGACTTGTAAGTCTATTTCTTTCACCAGGTCAGGGAGTTTTCTGTCATTATTTCTTCAAATAGGTTTTCAGTGTCTTGCTCTTTCTCTTCTTCTGGCACCCCCATAATTTTGATGTTGCTATACTTGAAGTTGTCCCAGAAGCTTCTTATTACTATCTTCAACTTTCTGGATTCTTGTCTCTTCTTGTTTCTCCGGAGGAGTGTCCTTTGCCTCTTTGTATTCCAAATCTTTGACTTGATTCTTGCGTTCCTCTAGTCTGCTGTTGGGTCTCTGTATAATATTTTTTATTTCAGTCAGTGTATGTTTAATTTCTAGTTGGTCCTTTTTCATATCCTTGTTAAATTTATCAGCCTTTTCTAGGAAATTCTTGAAAAACCTTATAACCATGGTTTTGAACTCTATATCCAGTCTTTTGTTTTCCTCCATTTCTTTTGAGATCTATTTCCTTGTCTCGGCATTTTTGCTGCTTCCCTGAGTTGGTAGGGTGGCTTTGTGTGCTAAGGTGTCTTATATGGTTCAGTGGGTCAGTCTCCCAATTGCCTGATGTGGACACTCTTGGTGCACCCCTTTGTAAACTGTGTGTACACCCTTGTTGTAGTTAAGTCTTTTTTTAAAAAAAATTAAAAAAAATATATTTTACTGATTTTTTACAGAGAGGAAGGGAGAGAGATAGAGAGCTAGAAACGTCGATGAGAGAGAAACATTGACCAGCTGCCTCTTGCACACCCTCCACTGGGGATGTGCCCACAACCAATGTACATGCCCTTGACCGGAATCGAATCCGGGACCTTTCAGTCCACAGACCGACACTCTACTGCTGAGCCAAACCAGCATAGTTAAGTCTTGATTGTTGTTGGTGTCACTGGGAGGAATTGACCTCCAGGCTAATTGGCTGTGCAGACCCGCTGTGTCTATAATGGAAGAATTGCTGTGCTGGAGACATGTTTATTGGGGAGGACTTGTTCCCATAGGGCTTCGGTGCTCACTGAGTCTGCCTCTTGAATGTATCTTTATGTATCTCTTGAATGTATCTCTCTCTCTCTCTCTCTCTCTCTCTCACACACACACACACACACACACACACACACACACACACACACGATTTGTTTGCATTTGCTAAATGTAGCTTTATCTGATTTTGGAAATGGTAGACAAACACTGTTCTTTTTTTTTTCTTTTTTTTCTTTTTTTTTAATCTTTATTGTTCAGATTATTATAATTGTTTCTTCCCCCCCTTCCCCTCATAGATCCCCTCCACCCATCCCCAGCCCTCTGCATTATCTCCCCCCTTCACATCCACACCTCCCCCACATAGTTGACGACAGCGTGTGTGTGTGTGTGTGTGTGTGTGTGTGTGTGTGTGTGTGTGTGTAGTTGAAATCTGGTGTCGTCTCACACTGACTGCTAGATACACTAATTTCTGGATCTCCAATGGGGTGCAGTTCAGCTACTGTCTTGAGGCCACCCAGCAGGAGCTACTGCAAGAACTATAGTTTTTTCCTCTTTGCTTGGGATTTGGTGGTTTTGGAGCTGGAGCTGCAGTTTATTTCCTTAAGCTGCCACAATACAGGCCATTTATATGCAAAAGCAGCTGTGTGAAGCCTGGACTAGTTTATAATGTGCGGGGTGGGGCCTCAGGGCAATGCGGGGTCTCAGAACGTCACTTTGAACGTGGCATGGCAAACAGTGATGGCTGCCCGTCAGCTGTCTCCACCTTTCCTTGTTTCCAAGTCCCCATGTCCCCACACTCCAGTGCAGTAAACAATGATTGTTGCATGCACCTCTGCAAAAAAGTCACCCTCACTTTTGGAGCCGGTGGCCAATAGACCAGCTTCTCTCTGTAGGTGTCTGGGTCCCCTGCATGACCCCAGAAACTGGATTTCAAAATGTTCGGGAGCTTGTTTCCCTTCGGGCTGAAAAAAAGCCATGCGTCCAGTCGCTCACCACCAGCCCAATTCGAGTGCCTCTGTGCCTAGGCTTTTCAGCTTTTCAGCACTTGTGCTCCTTTCTCTTTCAGCCAGCTTTCCTGTAGTTCTGGGTGATAGATGTTTTGTCTTTTAGTTGTAGTTTTGAAATTGTGCGAGGCGACAGATTAGTTGTTTACCTTTGCCGCCATTTTGGGTTTGTTTTTTTGTTTTGTTTTGTTTTTGTGAAATACTGTTCTTATGTATCTCATATATCTCCTTGGTTTTATATTTCATTTTACCTTAAAAAAAAAACAAAACATGTACTGTGTGTTTTTTACTATGGAGTTATGTTACTATAGTTATGGAGATTTTTTTCATATGAAATACAAAAATAATTTCATGATAATTAAGATTCTAACTTTCCCTAGACAAATAAAGTATTTTTTGTCTGTTTGTACAGTCTTGGTCACATTTTTTATATAGCTTTCTTTCATTTAATTATTTATTATCTTAGAAAAATAATTTTACCACTGAAGAGTCTGAAAGTTCAGGTGATGAAAAGAAACAAAAAATAACATCAAACTTTAAGGAGGAATCTAATGTGATGAGGAACTTTCTTCAAAAGAGCCAGAAAACATCTAAAAGTGAAATTGCAATTAAAAGGTAGGTTTGCTGATGTTAGTTTTTTTCATGACATTCCTATATTATAAAAGCCTAATATGCTAATTGTCCGCTTGTCTGGTCATCCACTCAACCAATTAAAGCGTAATATGCTAAGACTGCTCAACCCCTTGCTATTGTGTGCACTGACCACCGGGAAGCAGACACTGTCCAGTAGGTTAGCTTGATCGGGACTGAGTGAGATGGGCCGGACACACACTGGAGCCCTTTCATGGTCCCTCCCTTTTGGCCAACCTCCCTTGTCTCTCCCAGCCAGATTGAGTACTGGTGGAGTCCCTTGGCCTGGCCTGTGTCCTCTCAAATCCAGGACCCCTCAGGATGTCAGTTGGTTTTGGCCCAATCCCACAGGCCAACCCGAGGGATCCCCCATGGGTGCACAAATTCGTGCACTGGGCCTCCTGTGTGATATAAAGGACATGAAAACATTTCTTTTAGTTTTAAAATTTACCAAAATGCCATTAGACTAAATAGGCTCTTGTATTTTTGGTTATCTGTTTTTTAGGGAATGTCCTACCTCGACGAGCACAGAGGAAGAAGCGATTCAGGGCATGCTCTCTATGGCAGGGTTGCACTATTCCACATGTTTACAAAGGCAGGTACAAAGCACAGGCTGCAGCAGTGAAAGAAACTCTCTCCAGGATCCCAGCAGCTGTCACAGCAGTAACCACGAGGATAGGCAGCTGTACCGCTATGATAAACCAGTGGAATGTGGTAAGAAACTTAGAAGTAACTCATGACCCCAAATTTAATAGCTTATAATTCCAGTTGAAATTAGAGATTATGAATAACTGTTTATTGCACATTTTTAGTTGGAAATGATATTAAGCATATTTATTGGCCAAAATATATGTAATGTTGACAAGTTATGTAAGATGCAAGTATAAGAATTTAAAATGTAAATTAACTGGGATTGAGAGTCATGTTCACCAGCATAATTTTATCATTGCTGTTGAACAATAGTGTTATTTCCCTTTTATAAGTTGGTTACAGTGGAAGGAATATTTGGTGCTTTATTTTATTATTATTATTATTAATATATTAATAAATGTCTTCACCCAAGGATATTTCTCCATTAATTTTTAGAGAGAATGGAGGGGAGGTGGGGGGCAGAGAGATAGATAGATAGATAGATAGATAGATAGATAGATAGAAAGAAAGAAAGAGAAACATCAATGTGAGAGAGACACATTGATTAGTTGCCTCCCGAATGTGTCCTAACTGGGGCCGAGGATTGAACCTGCAACCCAGATATGTGTTCTTGACCAGAAAGTGAACCCACAGTTCTTCAGTGTGTGAGCTGATGGTTTGAACAAACCACTTAGCAATACCAGCCAGGGCCTTTAAATGGTCTGCTAAGCTTGAACAATCACCCTCATTTTCTTTTGTGGAAGGGAAAACAAGTGTTGAACTTTCTAATTGGGGACATTCTCTCTTTCGCTTTAAAGGCAGTATTAGGAAAGAGGATACTCAGTAGTAACATCAGTGATGCCGCAGAGTGTTTTCTTTTCTGTGCCTTTAAGGGAAATTTTGTTTCCCTAAAAGTGTGAGGAGGACTATGCCTATTACAGCATTTGTGTTTGTTCTCATGGAATTAAATGTCAACTATGTACCAGGAATTTGACATTATTCCACTTAATTCTTGAGACATTTTGTTGTAGGTAATATAACTTTACAGGTAAAGGAAATAGACTTAATGAAGTTAATTTAACTTCCCCATACGTATTCATTGGTGTTGGAATTTGAACCCATGACTGTCTGATCCCTTTGCTTATTATCTAAGAGAAAACTGAGGTTTACAGAGATTAAATAATTTATCTAAAAATGCATCGATAATTGGAGAGCTAAAATTCAAATCTAGGTTTGTCTGTACTTTCTTTCTTTTTTTTGTCTTTTTTTTTTTTTTTGTCTGTACCTTCATTATACCATTCTGTCTCTCTATAATCTGTTTGGTCCCTTGAAAAGAAAGCTTCTGTGCAAATACTGCAAAATTCAGACAAACATATGCCTTTATTCTATATGGAAAAATATATCATTTTTAGAGAGTGTGTATTGCGCTTGGTTTTACATCTACAGCAGATGGCCATAAAATTTTACTCTAGTCTTCCAGCATCTGGCATAAAACTGTCATATAAAGGCAGCCATTCAGAGGATCGAAGGAATGTTTTGTTTTTGAGAGGGAAAGAAATGTGGTAAACAAACATGAATAAATATTTAAAGAATTAACATACTCAGTTTTTAATAAAATGGTAACAAATTTGCTTTCAGTTTTAAGCATTTAGCTAATTTTGTTCTTTGAGATCAAGTTTTTGTGAAGATAATTAATTAAAACTTCTCTCTAGGATACCATGTCAAGACTGAAGATCAGGATTTGAGGCGTTCCTCCTGGAATAAACAATTTGATACAACTTCCAGATTTAATCTTCAGGTATGTTCAAGCTTTTTTTTTTTTTTTTTAATAAATCTTTATTGTTCATATTATTACAGATGTTCCTCTTTCCCCCCCTCCCCCTCCATTGCTCTCCTCCACCAGGTTCCCACCCACCCTCTGCTCTTTCCCCACCCCCCATTGTCCTCATCCATAGGTGCACAGTTTATGTTCAGTCTCTTCCCCCTCTCCCCTTTTCCCCAAGAATCGTCAGTTCACTCCCCTTCCATACCTCTGATTCTATTATATTCACTAGTTAATATTGTTCATCAGATTTTTTTTTTGGTTTTTAGATTCACTTGTTGATGGTTACGTATTTGTTGTTCATAGTTTTTATCTTTATTTACTTTCTCTTCCAAAAAAAACTCCCTTCAGCAATTCATATAATTCTGGTTTGGTAGTGATGAACTCCTTTAGCTTTTTTTTTATTGGTGAAGCTCTTTATCTGGCCTTCGATTCTGAGTGATAGCTTTGCTGGGTAGATTATTTTTGGCTGTAGGTTCTTACTTGAATATTTCTTGCCATTCCCGACTGGCCTGCATGGTTTCTGTTGAGAAATCAGCTGACAATCTTATAGGTGCTCCTTTATAGGTAACTCTTGCTGCTTTTAATATTCTCTCTTTGTCTTTTGCTCTTGGAATAGTTATGATTTGTCTTGGAGTGATCTTCTTTGGATTCCTTTTGTTTGGAGTTCTGTGTGCTTCCTGGACTTGTAAGTCTAATTCTTTCACCAAGTGGGGGAAGTTTTCTGTCACTATTTCTTTCAGTATATTTTCAATACTTAATCTCTCTCATCTTCTGGGACCCCCATAATTCTGATGTTAGTTCGCTTGAAGATGTCCCAGAGGTTTCTTACATTATCTTCAACTTTCTGGATTCTCTTGTCTTCTTGCTTCTGCGGAGGAGTGTCTTCTGGCTCTTTATGTTCCAAATCTTTGACTTGATTCTTACGATCTCCCATTCTGTTTTTAGGACTCTGTATACTATTTTTTATTTCAGACAATGTATTCTTTATTTCTTGTTGATCCCTTATTATTTCTAGTTGATCCCTTTTCATATCCTCATAGGTCTCGTTTATTTTATCGGCCTTTTCTAGGAGATTCTTGAACATCCTTATAAGTGTGGTTTTGAACTCTATATCCAGTCGCTTTTTGCCCTCCATTTCTTTCCTTTGTGATCTCTTTCCTTCTCTTGGCATTTTCGCAGCTTCCCTGAGTTGGTAGCCTTAAAAGTCTCTGTGTTCTGCCTAGATGGGGCGGAGTTTCAGGGTGGAGCCTACAGCCTTGGCTTCCGTCAGCCATGCCCTATGCGGCTCCTGAGTCTGTGTTTCTAGGGTCCTTCAGTACTCACTTGCAAGCAACTCTGAGAGTGAGGTGCCCTCGAGTTTCGCCTGCTCCCAAACAATCTAGTCTCTCCCTCAATGAGCCCGGAACTGGGGTTCAGTTCAGTTGGAAGTGGGATTGGAAGTGGGCTTCAGAGCAGTCTGGAGCTTTTGTCTCCTTCCCGCCAGGGCAATTCCGTGGCACAAATAACCCTCTCTTCTTTGCGCGCAATGTGCGCGCCTCCGGGGGCTCTGTTCACCGCTCCCCTAGGATTCCGCCTCACAGCCCAGGCTCCCTCTGTTTGAGCCTGGGTCCCCAGGGTCTGGCCTAGAACTGGGGCTCAGCGCTGTCGGGTCTGGGGTTTAGCACAGTCCGGAGCTTTTATCTCCTTCCCGCTAGGGAATGCCAGCCAGGCACTCAGCCGCCCCCTCTCGGGCTCTGTCCTCTCTGCGTGCCGTGTGCCTCCCTACCTTAGGCTTTTACAGCTCCTCCGCTCTTCCTTCTGGTTTTCTCCTTACTTCTCGTTGTAGAATTTCCAGTCAGTTGACTTTCCTGTAGTTCTGGGTAATGTCCATTTTATATTTTAGTTGTATTTTATTGAAATTGTTGTGTGCGGCTGTGGTTAGGTGTTTACCTGTGCAGCCATCTTGGATCCTCCTCCCCTGTTACTCAAGCTTTGAAACATTAAAAGGAGATTTAGAATAGTCATTAGCTCTGTTTTTTTGCTTTCCTTCTTTTTTAACTACAATTAGTTAACAACCATTAGATCTGGGAAGGTAAAAAATTACAATTAAATCCACATTTGAACAACTATCCATTTTTAGAGATTCTGATATAATGCCTAATGCAAAGCTCATGGACATACCATGATCCAGAAAAGAAAAGTTTATTCAAAGAAGTAGTTAAAAAATACTAGCTGCCAGTACCTTTCGATGTGTCTTGTTAGAATGAAACATGAAAGAAAAGTACCAGAGGATCTCTAATCTCTGACATTGTTTCTTGTACATTTTTAATTTCTTATTTTTTAAATTGTATTTATTTACTTATTTTAATCCTTGCAGAGGTATTTTTCCATTGATTTTTAGGGAGAGTAGAAGAGAGAGGGAAAGAAAGAGAGAAATATTGATTGAATGTGAGAGAAACACATAGATTGGTTGCCTCCTGCACATTCCCCAACCAGGGCCCAGGCCGGGGAGGAGCTTGTGACTAAGGTACATGCCCTTGACCATAAGTTTGACATGCTTGATATCCACTGAGCCAAATCGGGCAGGGCTTGAACATTTTTAGATGCTTAATTTCTTTGAGAATTTGATGAGAGTTATAGATTCTCTTTCCAGAAAATGATCATCATAAATGCTGACTTTTGCTTACATATTCTTATGATTTATTCCCCAGATCACTCTTTGACTTCAAATTAAGAACTCTTGCTCTAAGAGAGGCCAGTTTATATCTTTGGATCCCAGCATATTAATACTCATACCAAACAAAATGAACCCCATATAGCTTTTTAAAATTTCCTTTTTGTAAAGAAAAAAAAATATTTTTATTGATTTTAGAGAGGAAGGGAAAGGGGGAGAGAAAGAAATATGGATAAGAGAGGGAAACACTGATTAGTTACTTCCTTGCCTGCCTCCTTCTGGGGATTGAGTCCACAGAATCCAACCAGTGACATTTAGATTCAGGAGTTGACAGTCAACTCCAAGCATACTTGTGAGTAATAAATTATGGATATTTTGTATTTTTTTCATTTGGCTTATCTATATTTTCTAAATACTCACCAGTCATTTTTACAATAAGGAAAAAACCCCAAAACTCCAGGTTATTTTTTTAAGGCAGTTTGTCTGTATAAGTTCTTTTAATAGAATCCTCCAGACTCAAAGGTCAGGTAAGAAATCCCTTCACTATTATAATTCACTTATTCAATGTATGATTTTATAGTGCCTCACTATAGCTGGTCATGAAGTTTATAACTTCACTATAGGATTCAGTGTGAAAAGTAAGCTATTATTATTAAATCTAACTTGTTTTTATAGTTGTCTTTGAATATAAAGAAGAGGATAGATGGTTAGCATGATCATTTTGGAGACAATCAGATTTCTTTTGTTTATAACTGAGAAAGATATTCAGAGGCATGTCAAATCATAGCAGTTGTCTCTTCATGCTCAAGCATATTTGCAAAATAATTTAAAGCAAATCTGTATTTAATGCTGTTTTTAAAACTTATTTAATCACTAAAGGCCTGGTGCATGAAAATTCATATACTGGAGTGGGGGGTGTCCCACAGCCCAGCCTGCCCTCTCTCACAGTCCAGGAACCCTCAGGGGCAGGAGGTGCCCCGGGAAAGGCCACACCCCAATCACACCTCTGCTGCTGCCACTGCTTGCAGTGCAAGCCTCGGCCAGCCCTGGTTACCTGAGCCTGGGGGCAGGCCCGATCATGCCACACACCTGCTTCCCCAGTGGGGTTCGAAGGGACTGGGTGCTACCATCTTGTGGCTGTGGGCACCACTATTTTTTGAGGGTATGACAGTCAATTAGCATATTCCCTCCTTATTGGCTGTGAGTGCTGCCATGTTTGTGAGGCATGCTGATCAATTAGCATATTCCCACTTTCTTAGGTAGGATAGAATTACAGAATTGGAGACATAAGAAAATAAGGTTAAAGAGAATCAAAGATATGTTTTATATCTCACACACATAATTAAAGCTAATTTTGTGAAAATCTGCAGTATGCTCTATCTTTTCAAGTTTGTCTTTTCCTTTCTCTTTTAATTTTGGTCATGGCTCTCTCCATTAATTTCAAGACCTATCAATCAGTAGCAGTATTTGTTTTTTCCTTACAGTTCATGCATTAATCTTAAGAGATTGAAGGAAAAATTGTTACAGGATCTAGGTTTGTTTTTTTGTTTATTAAATACAGTAGAGATGAACCTACGGAAGTTAACTTTAAAAAAAAGATAATATATAACACAGTGAAAGATAAATGAGAACTATGCCATATGAGCAGTAGTACCACTTCTCCCATCTTGGCTTCCTTTCACACCACGTGCTCACTGAATTCAGGATGGCTTGTTGAAATTACATTCATTCTCCCTCCCTTCCCTTTTTCTTCCCCTCTTTTCTCCCTCTCAGTCTCAGCCTCTCTGTCTCTTTCTGTCTCCCTCTCCCTCTTCCTCTCCTTTCCTCTTTCCCACTCTCCCCATCCATATATAATGCTTGCTTCTTGAGTTAAGTTATGATGCAACTTCAAGACTTGAATCCTTCAGAGCTTTTAGCTTTTGGAATAAGTGGGCTATCATGAAGGGTAGTCTTCTGTGACTACTATGTGTAAGAAAACCAAAGTTCAGTAGTCTATTTTTTCTCTCTCTTGGCTTGGTAATGTATAAAGAGGTTAAAAACTTCACTTCTTTTAAAGGAACCTTGATAATTCAGCCTTATTTTCATTCTTTAGGATCCAAGTAGAGGCCATAAATACATCAAAAAGGAAGGTTCATCAGAAATCAGTCAAAAGCTACAAAGTAGGAATTCTGTGGACAGCAGTGGCTCAAACCCTCAGAATGGAAAGTACATGCAGAATTCAAGCTTGGTTTCAGGGGCATGCCAGATAAGTCATGGCAGTGTAAGCCCAGAAAGGCCAGTTGGTGAAACTTCCTTTTCAGTGCCCCTTCACCCCACCAAGAGACCTGCATCAAACCCACCTCCTATCAGCAACCAGGCAACAAAAGGTAACTGCTGCACATTTGTAGGTTATGTGTATTTCTGACTGTGTGAGATGGCGAGAGTGACAGTTCTGATAGAGGTAGTATCTGCAGTCAAGTTGCTCACAGCCTGATGCATAAGGATACTATAACAATAGTATCAGTTTGTGCAGATGAGTGAGGGAACAGCAGGATACTAAGTTACCTCTAAGGACCAGGAGTGGCTTTTGGGAGAAGGAGGTAGATCCTGGAAAAGATGGTAATGAGTTAGTTAGCCCTGCCAAGTTGGGGGAGTGACATAGCATTGGAGGTAAGGAGTCACTGTGACCTAAGGTACAAAGGTGAAAAAATAGCATTTCAATCCATTTTGTTGTTGAACACAGTTTGCTGCAGAATATGGTAAGAGCTCATGCTGAAGAGATGGGTGGGGATCAGACTGTGTGAGGGCCACCCAAGTCCTGTGAAGGAGGTTGGCCTTTATCCCTCACATGAGGAGATGGCAGGGATTATTCCAGGAGTGTAACAGTGGAATTCCAGGAGTGTGACTTTGCCCTTTTAGAACACCTGGGAGACTTGCTTGCCTTGGAGCTCTCCCTTTCAGAATTCCAGATCCTGTATGATTTGCATCATTATTTACACTGTTGTTGGTGTTTTATAGGTAAACGTCCAAAAAAAGGAATGGCAACAGCCAAACAACGCCTTGGGAAGATCCTTAAGTTGAACAGAAATGGCCATGCACGTTTCTTTGTGTGATGGAGCTTCTGTTGGAATCACTCTTCCCTTTGGAGACCAGTCTCGGGGGTGTGGGAGCCTGGAGCTTCCGCCACGCATGTCCAGTGAAGAACACTGCCTGGAGAACAAAATGAACCTGATGCTGCATTCTCACTGTGCCACACCCACTCAGCAATAACCATTTTGGACCTGGTGGGGAGAGGAAGAAAGAGGGTAGAACCTTAAACGGAGACCTTGAACTGAAAAGGGTCTCTTGTCAGGGCTTGAATTTCATTTTGTTGTTGGTAGTGTCTTGATTTATTTTCAGTGGTAAAGAATTATCAATAATTTATTTAACAGATTTTTTAAAAAGTTAACAGCTTTTAAATTCTTTCTTTTTTAAAGCTATTTATTTGGAAGATTTCTGGAGAAATATCTCACTAATTTAGATTTAAGAATGTGAAGGTTTTTAAATTATTTTTGATAGTGTGTGTGTTACATGTGGGGAAAAACCACAGTAACAGTAACTAGTCTGGACTCTTAAATTTGATATTCAGGTTAAAGTCTTAAACAGGGATTTGATGCATTAATTATTTTAAATTAAGATGTATATGGAAATCATTTTATTTTATATATTTCATGTTTTTTATAAACTATTAGCTTCGCTTTTGCTAACATCCAAGGTGCATACTGTTATCCAGGTTGATGACCTTATATCCCACCTTCCCCCTCTGCACTCCCGACTTTTGTGATGACACAACAAGACTCTCTCTTTGCAGGGAAACACTTTCATAGCTGATGTGTTAGACTTACATATAAAAGACCCCATATTTCTCATTTCGTTTGACATGGCATTTTTCCCCTAAATATAACAAAGGCTTTTTGCATTTTCATTTTTGCTGATGACCTGGGTTCCAAAGAGAACAGCTTTAATATCTTTTTCCTATTTGTGGAAAAAGTATTATAAGTTTGGTTAAATTGTCATATTTCTAGTTTTTCAAATGCATTTATAACTATAGAGGGCCTTCATACTGCTGATGTTGGAGGGCAGGACCAACACCTGCCATAAAGGTTCTATTTTATGACGCTTTTATTCTGTGTACCTAATTTGTTGGGAAATAAGATTTGACTTAGTTGTTCAACTCTGCATAATAAGCCGTAATATAATAGGATTATACTATATTAATTGTGTAGAAGCAAGCATGTAGGAGTAGACCTTTTGCAGGTGTGTGTGTGTGTGTGTGTGTGTTTAGTTTTTTTATTTCTTAACCTTCTAAAGAATTATTTAAGACATGGGTTTGAAGGAAAATGGGTGCTTCTTGTAGTTTCTTCCATCTATCCTAGCTTAGCCAGTGCATATTGAGGCTAAGTATCTGAATTGAGCTTTAAAGTAATCATGTATCTCTTTTATGCACAATTTTTACTAAATGCCAGCTAATGATAGTTAATATTTCCCCCTATTGCTTAAAAATAAGTAATTTCAGGGCTGGAGTGGGGTGGAGTGGAGATATTTCCAGTGTTGACAGGAGAGCATTATACAAGTTCCTACAAAGAAAATATAGGCAAATAAGATCAAATTTATTTTTATGAAGAAGAAATATGGCCATATTATGGATATCCTTTTATTTACTGAGCCAAGGTAGCAGAACTTTCCCTTCTATATTAAGTATCATGTGCAGTGCTAAGAAAAATCCATACCATCCTCCATCATGGTTGCATTGAAATGTGTATTTTCAAAGAGATATTTCTTACTCTGTCTTCATTCCAATATATCATGGAATAAATATGAAGTAGCTTATGAATTAGCCTTTTTGGCCCAAGTGACTGAATCAAAGTATGGATCTTACCAGGTGTCAGGAAGGATTTTGTGGAAATACTAAATGCCTATAAGTAGCCTACTTAAACTCTACACGATGCCAAAACTAGTTAAGAGATGAGCATGGTTAGTCATTTGATTTAAAAATGTAAAAAATTAGGTTTGACTAATTGTGCCACCTTCCCACACAGTATATTACTGTGATGTTTTGGTTTTCTGTAGATGTCATTTTAGTGTTTATAGAATATGTTTTTGTTTAAGAAATAAGAGCTATATATATTTTTTCAGTTACGTCATGATTTGGGTTTTTTTTTATTTTATGTTCTTTTCACAGTTCCAAGTGTTTTTAATTACCTGATTATTTTTCTTTAACTATAAAAATTAAAATAAAACAATTTCTTTTTATGAGTTAAAATTGTGGCCATTATCCACCCTCTGTATTTAGGCTGGTAAATATTTATTTTAAGTAGACAGTATGTGGAACTTTTAAGTGAAGGTACTGTGGATTCGTTTTTGACAATTTTAGCCCATTAACTGGCCAAGTTAAAAAAACAAAACAAAAACTTTCAGCAGGTTAATAAATATAACCAACACTACATCAGAATGCATGTATCTTCTTCTGAATGGTGCAGATTCAGCCCCTGGTCCAGGGACTTTCCTAGTCTTACAGAGTTACTGGCTCTGATGCATCCCCTGAAGCTCAGAAATGACTGAGTCATGAGGTCATTACAGCCAGTGTCTGGACTCAACTGTAACAGACAACCTTGTGTTTTTCCCTCGATCTCATTATAAACAATACTACTGCACAGATTCTACAACTTAGGAAGACAGCAGTGGTGGCATTTAGCAAGTTATAAGCAAATAGAAATATGTAAAGAAGAATTATGATTAAATGTATGCATTTTTAATTATAGTAGTAGATAATTTTCCTGTATTGATTCAAGTAAGTAACTTCTATTAACCTAGTATCCACTGTACTGTAATTCATAATGTCACATAATATAATGCTCTCCAGTATTGATTAATGATGTAAACATTACAAAGCTGGCATTTATAATAGTTTTGTATCCTAGAAATACATTGAACTTCATAATCATCATTTAATTTTTAAAGCATACAAAATTGAAAATTCTGACTGAAATCATCTTATAAACTCAGAGAGAAAACAAGGCCATCTTTATTACTACTTAAATACTTAGCTTGAATACTGTTCTGTTTTTTAATAATCCCACTTATTGCCTTTTAAATGAACTCTACTGTGGTTATTCATATGAGATCAGCAAGTATTTATCAAACACCTACTATGTGTCCAGCATTACATAGTTCTGTGGGGAAGTACAAAGCTGAAGTGTGGTCTTTGCTTTTGAAGGTATCTTCGTCAGGAAATAAGCAGTATTATTTTTACTTGTAAGCAAGCATAAGCAAAAAAGAGCCCATTTATTTAAAAAAGCATTAACTTCATTTGTCTCAATTGAGATATACTATGCTATATAGAAGTGGAAGTAAATTTTTTTAATTTTTAAAATTTAAAAAACGTTTCAGAAATTAACAATTTAATGTTGGCAGTAGAGGGTCATGGTTTTGTATGAAAGAGAGCAGACGACTTGGATTTTTGTCCAGGTTCTGCCATTTTTATATCAGCTGTGTGACCTTGAGTAAGTCACTTGTTCTTTCTACATCTTAGTTTTTTCATTTGTTAGTTTGGATAAAAATGCAGTTAACAAATACATGGAAAAGTGTTTCTTAATCTATTAACACTTCATACTTGCAGTTAATTTATCATTATTTAAGTTGCCACTGATAATGCACATTTTTATGCATTTAAAATTTAAACTGTCATTACTCATAAAATTTGTTTTATGTCAAATCTGTGCCCAGAGCATGCTACCTAAAAAACCTGAAGACTCTCTAACAAGGTGCTGAATTAAAATTAAAATTAGTGCTTGACATGAAAGAAAAGTGAAATAGTTTATGGGTAAGAGTGATAATGCTTATCTTCATGAAATTATTAAGATGACTTAAGGAAAGATTCTTTCTGCTTGTTTCAAGAGATGCTTTCTATAGTGATCCCCCAAAGAGCTTCTGAATCACCGTGCCACCCGGCACACCACTGCCAGAAGTAACTATTGCAGTATCAGCATTTTACAATTTCACAAGGAGATGAAGGCTTAATAATGTCAATCTGAAAATTTTTCAAAAATTCTTTTTTTTCTCATTAAATATTAAACCAGTTGCTCCCCCCCCCCCCCCCAAAAAAAAAGCACAAAGCTAAAGATCACTAGTTGTTTCCAGATGCTTTAGACCAGTGGTTGGCAAACTCATTAGTCAACAGAGCCAAATATCAACAGTACAACAATTGAAATTTCTTTTGAGAGCCGAAAACCAACTTCTGCGCATGGGCCATGAAATTTCAATTGTACTATATGTGCGTGCCCGCATGTGGTATTTTGTGGAAGAGCCACACTCAAGGGGCCAAAGAGCCGCATGTGGCTTGTGAGCCGCAGTTTGCCGACCATTGCCCTAGATCTTCATCTAAAGCAATCTCGAGAAGATTGAGCATCAAGTCATTAGGAAAAACATGTTACCAGTAAATAAAGAAGAGAAATGGAAACCAAATAGGGCAGTGATTTGCCTGGGGTCACAGTATATTCTAGACCTCTCTGGTACCTTGCTTCCTACCACAGTTCTTCTCTGTGATGCTGTGCAGCCTCATGCTTGTTCTGGGGGTGATGTTGATGTGCTTGCTAGAAGCCAGATGGAAAGAAAGCAGAAGTAATATACTCACTACATTGCTGTTGGACTAAAGTAATTTTGATACTGCAGCCTTACTAAAACCCTGCTCTTATTTTCATTTGTTCTTCAGTGAAAATCATGACATAAAAGTCAAATCTTTCATATCCCTTATATAACTTTTTAAAAATTAAGGTCATTAAGAAGCAAATGCCTATTTCTAAAACAATTAGCTTATATTTGACTGGTTTTACTCTTTTATACTATTTTCCCCCCCTCTTTAATGGATAGGGAAAATAATGCTATTTACCTGCACTCTGCCCCGTAGAGTCTCCCTCTCACCCATGGTGCCCTCTCTAGTGTCCTAAAGCCTTGTCTTAACAACTGCAACATTACATTTTTGTTAAAACCCTTTCAAAACTACATTCAGTGATTCTTCCAACACATTGATCTGTTCTGCACTATTTCACTAATAAACCCTGGCTACCACGTAGCC